CTAAATATTAGTGGAGATACACCCAAAGAGACAGAGGGCTAAAGGAGTCTGATTTTGTTCTCTGTGATTAAAGAACCATCTCTGTTCATGTTTTGAGTTAACCTGAACTCTACTACACTTCTACTCTCTACTGAAGCCACCATATTATGATAAGATAAAAATTCTAGCGTTATGTTAAGGACATATAACGAGAACCAAGGGTTCAAGAAGGAGAATGTTTTTTGAGGAATGTATTTGTGAAACAGAATTTTAAAAGTTACCAGGACAATGGAATAGGTACCTCTTCCTCTACCCCTTCATAATCTCTGTATTAACTGCATCATTTGTGCTAGATCCAGTTTGCAAAGTAACAGGATGGCCAGATGCATGAAAAAATGCTGCAAATATAACCTGTCCTCTCACTGCTTTGAAACGCACTGAATGACACTGGGAACATTTTTGGGACCAAAACAAAATAAAAGTTGCTGATGAACAGCTAAACTAAATAGTGCCAGATTGTTTGGGGCTAAAAACAGAATCAGAGGTGGGGGTAAGAGATGCAGCCAGAGCTTGTGCTGCTCAGTTGGCGAGCTCAGAGTTAACTGAACATGCAGAACTCCAACAGGAGCGTGCACTGATCAGGTGGTGAGCTCAGAGTTTGCTGAACAGGCATGCCCACATCCCCATTGCCCCACTCTTGGATCCCCTATGTCTTGAATCTACAAAATTAGCCCTTGTTTTTCTGCACCTGGCACAGGAAAGCAATGGACACAAACAGAAGCACTGACACATGCGATGAGGGAAGAATGGCAGAGAAAATGGCAACAAAAAGAAAATTATGTAAAAGAAAAGTAATGAAATAAAATCTATTTGGCAGTGACACTGAAAGGTCAGAAAATAAGGACTCTATGCATGGACCACAGTTTAAATGAATGGCCCCAATTCTGTAAGGCAATATGCATAAATTCACTGCTATAACCAACAGCTGGCATAGACCCTGCATCTTCTGATATTATCATCAACTGGTTGATAAAGATGTAAGGATCCCAAGAAGACAACTCTCCACTGAAATCCAGTCAATCCAATTCTGTTTCTTGCAGTATTCCTGTCATGAAGGCATCTAAAATTCATCAGTGCACCTAGGGACATAGCTCTCATCTGTCTCATTATAATGCATTCTTTCTGCCTTCCTCTGCCTTGCCAGCCCTTTCCTTATGTGAATAATTGGGTATAAACACCATCTATTGACAGTAAGTATAAAAACCCTCCTAGCTACCTTGGGAGTCATTGCAACCTCAAGTCCACTTATTCCCATCCGTCTTCTAGACAATGGAAGATGAGCTATACAATGGAATGGCCCTATTCTTACTAAGGAAAGTCACCACTGTGAATATAGAAGCTGATTTTTTTTTTTAACTCAGTGTTGTCCTACCTACTCCCATTGAAGCCACTTTTCAAAACTCTTCAGTGGGGTTCGAGCAGGATTAGGGCAGGAATGTCAAACTCATTTGGTCTCCATAGGGCAGATTTGGACTGCGGGGACTTTTGCACCTGGAAGACCCACCCACGGATCTGGCCTGGGGTCTTCTCACTGTGGCACAGTAAAGGAATTAATGGTGTGACCATAAGTCAAGGGACGCTGTCGTTCATCACCCCCTGTCGCCCCCCCAGCTATGGGAGCTGCTGTGTCAGAGCAGAGTGGCAGGTGTTATGCAGTAGCAACTTTAACTCCTTGGCTGCTCACACTGACAAATCAGTTCTTGCAGCTGCACTGAGAAGCCTCCATGAATCAGATCCAGAAGTAGTCTAGCATTAACTCTTTTGCTGTTGGGAGCCTCAGTGAGAAAACTTGCAGTCTGGATAACCCACTTCCCCTTGTCCTCACATACACACCCATAATAAATACCTATAAGCTTTCATTTAAAAACAAGCAACTTAAAAACTTTGAACTGTAATGGAACTACTACAGATACACATAGCAAAGCTGAATGACTGCCTGAGCTTATAGTTAGTTACCCTAGTGCTACCTCACTGTGGTGGTCAGAATTATTTGTTCCACTCACTGAGGTACCTCTAAAATTAGGAAGTAAGTTCTTTGGGCAGAGACTATTTTTTATCCTCTAACAGTTGAGCACGTTTGGATCCGGCATAAATAATCAACAATAAGAAAAAGTGATGTGATTAAACCTCTAACAATATCTGCTTGGCCAAAACAGAAATCACTCCCTCCTCTTAAACATCCCATTCTAATCATTTCCTCCAGATGCTCAAGGGCACTCAGCTGCTAAGCCAATCTGTTGTGTGGGGAAAACTCTTTCCGTACTTTCAGTGACAATCAGTAGTGCAGAATACACTGAACAAAAGCAATTTGATGTTGCATGCCAAACAGTAAGCCATAATGCAACTGTGGTTTTATGAAACCAAATCCAAAACTATATTCAAGGGAATTAGTCACTCTCACTGGCAAGGATAAGGGTGCTTTCTCTTCCCCCTGACAACCAGTGTATCTTCATGCCTTCACAGACCGGGGGAGTGATCAACCAAATAAGAAACATGTAAACTTAATAGCCAGAATATGAATTCTCCTCCCCATTCCAAACAAATCATCAGTAAAACATGTAGCACATTCATAAGTAAAACTGGATATAGGCACTCAGAATAAGGATATCATAAAAAGAAGGACAAAACAAAAGAGTAAAAAGGGTTCTATCCACAATAAAATAAACAATTTATATTAAAAGATGTCAGGGAGCATGGGAGAGGAAAAGAGTAGAGTAAAAACAGAATTGGCTACAGTAGAGGAAAACAAAAAAGAACCAAAAGCATGCTCTAGAAAAAGACTGAGAAATGAAGGAAAAACAGAAATGTAAAGAAGGAGGAAAAACTGAAAGAAAAGAAATGACATAAAAGTCTGGCAATAGAAATTGAAAGGAGACAGACAGCTCTTCATTTATTCCTGAAAATGCACAATTCGTGACACATATCATCTTTCATATGATAAGATACTGTTGGCATTAATACATTACAAAAAATTATGGTGGAGCTCCATGTATTTTGGCTGGTAAACATTTTAATGCAGTTCCATTAAATACTGGACTAGACTGGACTGGCCTGTGATACACAAATGGGTTTTATTTACTACTGTATCACCCATGTTTTATACCATTTGTATGTACTAGAAGTAATCAAGGATATAAAAATTCATAGTGAATTGGGCGTATTTTCCTCCCATAGGATAAAAAAAAGGAGTTTGTCAGAAAATCTAATCTCTAACTCATATTAATGCAAAATATAGCATAACTCAATAGTTATGTATGCAGAGCGTGAAATACCTTTATTCAGTATGGGTTGCTTTTGGAGAAATAAAGTTATTCTACATTTTATAGCAAAGTGAAAGAATGAGCAAACCAGGCAGGCAGCTAGAAAAGGGAGAAGAAAAACTCTGTGAGCAAACATGTAAGACTGGAATAGATGGAAACAGAAGAGAAGAGAAGAGAAGAGAAGAGAAGAGAAGAGAAGAGAAGAGAGTAAGGCATTGTAAATTAATTTTCAAAAGATCCAGAGCTACATTCTGGCTACTGATGCTACTGCCATCATTGTAAAAAGAGAGACATGCACACATAAAAACACAAACATAAGACTCTTATTCTTGAAGCAAATTTTGCCACATACAGGCAAAATTGCTATTAAAAGCAATGGTAAGCTTGTTTGCGTAAGGCTGGACACTAAATTAAATGATGCCTTAACAGGATGAGGAATGGACACACGTGAAGTAAAAGAAAGACACATGAAAGTACAGCAAGAAAATAGAAACAGTGATACACATCAGCAGAGTCTAAAACATAATATAGGCCAATAAAAGAGTAGTATAATAGTTGTGAATGAAATGCTTTAAAAAGCACATATGGTGTTATTAACTGAAGTCTCAAAAACAGAAGGCTTGACTAAATAAAAATAGAAATCCCATATCCCTTAAATTCCTGATCTCTAATTCCAACGCTGCTGAGGAAACAAAAGGTTTATTAATATATGGGTAATGTGTAGCCACAAATCTAACAAAATTCATGCTTAAAATTAAGCTCAGAAACATGTAGAAATATTTTACATAAATATTTCCTACAATCTATCACCAAAAAGCTTAATATAAAAATTTGAAATGCTTCAGGAAAGGCAACCATTTCTAGAGTGAAAATAAGTCTGTTTCATTATTACTTGCAGCTCAAGTTTAAATGTATGTTCATTACCTAAAACAAAATATTTGGCAGTATTGCACTCAAAGAAAGAACAAAACAATAATACACACTCTATTTGAAAAGTTACTCTATTTTTGCTTGACTGGCTTTCCAAATTGTGCCAAGTCTTGCGGTCCCTACACTTGCAAAAATCCTATTGAAGTCACTGGGACTTCTGCGAGCATAGGGACTTCAGGATCAGTTACATTAGCCCCAGTTCAGGAAGGTAATTAAATAGGTACTTTAACAGAACTAACTCCACACTTAACATTGGATACACACTCCATTACCTTGCTGAATCAGGGCCTTACCTATCAGAATTCCAATTACATTTTTTACTTTGTTTCTCTCTCTCTTTTTTAATTTTTCAAGGAAGATAAAGGAAAACTTTGATGATAAATAGTTTATGGTAGGATATTTTAAAGTATTCAGCAATGACCTAACTTTCTTCTCACCAAGACCAGCTGAAGTTCTGTCCTTAATGGGACTACAGTTAGGCCTGTGATGAAAACTTCTGCAAATTTTATGCTTATTGACAGAAAAATGCATAGCTGCTTCTTCACTGGGTAATTTTTACAAACATATACATACACCCACACATCCACACACATATGTTAAGGATTCTGTACAAGGTATATTAATGGTTCATATATTTTAAATTGACACAGTCTTACCAAAAACACACCAAGATTCCTCAAAATCCATTAAAATAGTGTCCACATGTATATATCCGATTACATCTGCGATCTGTGTTTGAGATTAATACATTCTCCTATAGCAGTCACTTACTAGAATTACTGCTGTCATCCTTGGTTCCATCGAGTGTTCCATCGGGGTGCATTTGCAAGTAGTAGCCTTGCCTGCAATATAACCTGGTCACTATACCCTTGAGCTGGGGATCTGAAAGACAAACATATTTTGTCACTAGCCTCAAAACTTTTTTTTTCCAAGAGTTATCCCTATTTCTCTCATTGTAGAAGGAAATTTGTTGAAGCAGCCTAGCTGTTTCTCAAGTCTAACTCAATACTAGTAAGCAGGATGATTGTTGATGGAGATACAGAATGAAAATTTATTTCTGAAGAATGTTACTACATCAGTTTTATGTCCTGTTTTCTGCTGTGAACGTCCTTGATGGCAATTAACAGAGGTAAACAGAGCTGAGCTACTGTATGCAAACTACAGGTTTAAACAAGATTAAACCCTACAAATAAATTTCCAGTTGCAATTAAAAATACTTAAAGAGCCTTATAGATAAGATTTAGAAACAGAGCACTTCCAAAAACCCCACTCTTATCTCTTGTTATTAAATTATTTACCAGCCTTTATGTATTGCTGTAAGGGTCACTTGCAAGAAAAATCTTCCTTTGTTATGCAAAATAACTTTCTTTTTATTCCCTACCTAGAGTTAAATATTTCCTTTTATAACATTTAGCATTAGTTCTAAAGTACTTTATGGACCAAGATACAAACATAGTTCACCCATCCACCAGTGAAAAACAACGAAGTCCAGGGCAAACCAAGGGCCGCCTTTTCTCACCGAGAGTTGAAACTATAAATAAATAGAGAATTTCAGGACAGCTGGAACTTCTTCAGTTGGAATGTAGATATGAGACAATAGTTAACAGCCTTGTTTTCATGTTAAAATTAACCTCAGAAACATGTAGAAATATTTTACATAAATAGTACCTATTATCTATCATCCAAAAAGCTTAACACAAAAATTTGAAATGCTTCAGGAAAGGCAACTATTTCTAGAGTGAAAATAAGTCTGTGTAATTATTACTTGCAACTCAAGTTTAAATGTATGTTCATTAGCGGAAACAAAATATTTGGCAGCATTGCACTGAAAGAAAGAGCAAAACAATAATACACACTCTTTTTGAAAAGTTACACTACTTTTGCTTGACTGGCTTTCCAAATTATGCCAGTCAAGCAAAGGTTGTTTTCACTACAGGACTGCTCAAGGATCACAGAGCTTCAACTTTACAATTCATCTAAAAAACGGTGCTACCCCATGCAACATAACACCCTGCAGTGCTGACAGGATGAATGCTATCTCCTAAACCAACATTTTCTGCAAAAGAGCTAAGTGTTGTTAGCATTCCAACAGGAAACATGTATCCCTCTCCTCATCATCACCATTATCAAATATCTGCCACTGAAACATGAACCAGATTCAACATGGCCAAATTAGAAAAGACAGACTGGCAACTCATGGAGACATAACAAATAAATGTATGTTTATTCACTGCCACAACAACAAACTAATTTTATAAAGACTGACTAGCTCTTCCGGTGAATAATTGATTAAAACGGAAACATTAAAGGAAAAAGATCCCATTTTCATGCAAACGTTATTTGGGGCTGGATCATAAACTCTTTTCTAAAGCTGATATATAGTTCCTCTCATGAATCATCTCATTGGCAGTAGGATTACTTGCAATGTGGGTAAGGAATACACAGTCTAACATTTAATGAATACAGAGACTGAAATGCACAAAATTGTGGCATATAAACAAAATAGCCCTAAATAGAATGCTTGCAAGGGATCAGCTAGCATGGAAAGTGTACAAAGGTGATAAATGTGTCAATTTATTTTACAATATATTCTGTATTCATAAAACTTGCAATAAGTCATTCTTCAACAGCAGACCCATATACATTTTAAATGCAAAATGAACAAACTATTCTGTAAATATGCTGTTATCATACAGGTTACAAAACAAAAACTACTGAAACACCACAAAAACTATAAACGTCAGACATTCAGCATGTATTATGGCCACTCTACCAAATCTTTCCTTGATGTACTAATTTAATCAATTTGATCAGGAAACCCCAAAATATTTTCATGAGTATTTTATTTCATGCAAGATCAGGACCTTTGACATAGGAATACTGTGACAAATCCTTGTCTACTAAATCTGTTAAATCTAAGTCTCCTAAATCTGCTACTTAGAGCAAGCTGTCTTTTCCCTGATGTCTTATCTTCACTTAATCTGGAAACTCCAAAATCTTTTAATCATTAAAAATATGAGCACCCCATTAAATGGCCACTATTCATATCTACCCATAATATTTTATATGCATTTGCAAACAGATCATCTTAAAATGAATACTTTCTCTTGATGCCTATTAAAGCTCTATATCAAAATAGCAAGATTGAAAAAAGCAATATTTAAAGCAAACATTCAACAAATTTAGGAAGTATTTCAGGAGAAAGAAGAAAGTAAAACCTATCGTATTTTGTAAAGCTGTATGTAGCTTCTATAGTCTCAAAGCCAAAATAAATATAGATCAACTTTCAGCTGCATAAAGTAGGTTTTATAATTGATAAAATCAATATATTTTAAAATTAATTAAAAGTCAATCACTATCACAAACTATTTACAATCTTCTGTGCTGATTGGCAAACATGAAATTTGGGTGGACATTATAATTATAATTCTGTCAGTTGTTAAGTGATTTCCTTAGTTTTTAAAATATATATAAAAATTAAAAACTAGTTGTTTCTTTAAAAATAGAAGTCTGGCTATTTTAGATTATTAGCTATACATAATTACACTGGAATAAAAATAATACTGCAAGTATACACAAGTTTCTGTAAGAGTTCATGATAATAAGTGAAGTAGCAATTATTTTTTGCATGGCATGTTCTTGCCAAGACTCAAATATCAAAATAATGGCTGCTATAGCAGTAAGGCATGCTACAATGCATATTAATAAATTAGAAATGCATAACTGGTGTGGAATTATGAATGCTTTGAGTGATCTTTGTAGTAATATAATGATCTGGTCTATTATTACAAAAGTACGGCTCCTTCATTTGAAAGTTCATTTATAAAAATCTTAAGAGTTTATTTTACCCATCAAGCATATGTTTGTTCTTTAAAAACAGACAAAATAACAGAAATAGAACATAATATCTTAGTATCTTGATCAGCAAGTTTAATAGAAAAATTGAGTTGATTGGGCAGGGGGACTCTTACCCCTCTAGGCTAGGGACAGACATTACACATAAACTGGTTTAAGTGACCAGAAACTGATTTAAACCTGTAACAGAACAGACATTCAGTGCACATAAACCAGTTTGAAAATGGCTGAAACCAGTTTGAGATTAACTTGGTTGAATGTAGTATCAGACTAACTGATTTGGGTCAAACCAGTTTATGCAATGCCTGTCCCAGACTGCTTCCTAGTTTAAGTTAAACCAGACTCCCCCAGCATCTTGGCATGCTCTCTGGGTTGGGCAGGCCTCTGTGCTCCAGAGCTGGGCTGGCCCCAACTCTCTGCTCCCTTGCTGGAGCTCCAACAGAGATTTGTAGGCACAGAGCATCTGTCTGGCTTCATCCTGCCCCGCCCCCCCCCCGCCCCCCACTGCTTGCAGCTGAAGCAGGGATCCTTCCTTCCTCCCTCCCACAGCAGGGACCATAGTCAGCATGTGGTATGCTAGCTAATGCTGAGAGGTGTCTCTGTAAGGTAGAAGAGGACAGTGTCTTTAGGAATTTTTGAAGCTAATCAACAGGTAATGTCCCTCCTTGACATGTTCCCTTCTTTGCAAAAAGTTAAGAAGAGCTTGAACTAATGAGAGGGGCTTTCTTCTGAAGGGGTGACAAATGCTCTGTTATCAAGGATGTGGGGAGGAACCCCCTTCCTAATCAGAGCATCTGGCTGGGGCCTGGCCATGCCCCTCCCCGTTAGCTCAGCACTATGGAAGAAGAAGGAGGGCTTCTAGCTTGAGCCACTGCAGGCATGTGCCTGAATTTCCTCAGTCCAGAGGGGATGTTTGTATGGTTACAAACTGGTTTAGCCTACCCAGGTTAGACTAAACTGGAAGGATTGAATCAATTCAGGCTCAGGCTTCACCTGCATGATCAGAAGTCAGGAAAACAGACCTTATGATGAGAGGCTGAGAGCCATGGGACTCTTCAGCCTGGAAAAGCGCAGGCTCGGACGTGATCTGATGGCCACCTATAAGTTTATCGGGGTGCTCACCAGGATATGGGGGAATGTCTGTTCACCAGAGCGCCCCAAGGGAAAACAAGGTCAAACGGTCACAAACTCCTCCATGACCATTTCAGGCTGGACATAAGGAAGAACTTCTTTACTGTCTGAGTCCCCAAGGTCTGGAATAGACTGCTGTTGGAGGTGGTTCAGGCACCTACCTTGAATGCCTTCAAGAGAAATTTGGATGTTTATCTTGCTGGGATCCTATGACCCCTGCTATCTTCCTGCCCCTGGGTCAGGAGGCTGGACTCAATGATCTTCCGAGGTCCCTTCCAGCCCTAATGTCTACGAAATCTATGAATGCCTGTCCCTAACCCCAGAGATGCAGAGGATCCTTCCAGAGCATAACTGACACACACTGGCCCCTGCTACACATTCATATGTTACATCATTAATTAGTTAATGGCACGATAAATTTAAACCAGTCAGCCCTGCAAAGTAATTATCACACCATAAAAATGACTATCCAGATATAAAAACATGCAACCAGCTATAAGGTTAATGTATAACAACCGTACAGCTGGTTTCTACCCAGCTTTAATTTGAGTGTGTAGCCGGGCCCACTGGCAGCAGGCAGCTCAGATAAACCCATTTCTACATGTATTATAGATGATCTGTGGCTAAATAGTAACTTGAATTTCTATGAATTTTAATGCATCACCTTCCAATAAGAACTACAGTCTTTTTGGAAAAGATGAGTGAAAATAAAAAACGTGTCTGCTCAGCCTCAGGAAGTTTGAGAACTAGCCACTAATGCCTTGAATATGAAAACAATTAATGCATTCTCTATGAAAACTAGGTAAAATCTAAGTGCGACTCAGAATTACTGATAAAAAAGCTATTATTACCTATCCTTAGGTGCATGGTATTTTTCAGGGTTTTATAAAGTTCTC